GGGCATTTGTGTAGACCCTCCTCCTACCATGTCTATTAGTTGAACGTAAGTGCGCCCACTTCGATCGCAGGCGGTGGCTCAGTGGACACCGTCATCCCATCGACCGAACTATGGGTATGGGTGTATGTGAGTGTGGGTGGGTGCGCGACTAATATCGTTTGAAAGTTGGACTGACGAATAATGCAACTTGTTAGAACTCAACCAACACTCTTTTGCTTTATGGGCCTACTGAAGTGTTCTAACCGGTTCCTATCATCTGATGGGAATTGTCGAAAAGAAATTTCTTTCCTGAATTAGCGACTTGCATTTCTATGGTCATGTTTCGTGGTTTGATTTGTACAACTCGATTGCTTCTGTGCGGGGTACTGCGCGTGTCACCCACCCGTCGATTGTCGTCAACCACCAACAGTAGCCCACTCTATGCAGTCCTATAGGCAGATGACATGCAGGGTCGCAGTGGCAAACGGATGACGCACACCATTGGTTCCACCTAGGTTAAAATGCAAACTTTACCACGTGCAGTACTTCTAATAAGCAGTGACCTCGTCTTTCACTGGGCGATGGTTCGTTCCACATTTCAACTTCAGCGCGGCGACTGTTTCGAATGGAGTCGACAGTTTGGAAAATGCAGTTAACCTTTGGCTACGCACCTAGTCAACTACAGTCATGAAGTTGTCAAATGCTTCTCGCATGATTGGGGCCACTGGGTTATCGAGGCTGAAACGGCCAGGTGATGTGTATCGACAATACACAGTAAACCGCTTGGCTAGTGGCTCATCCAGTATTGCACACACGGGAAGCGGTATCGGTTTGCCTATTCGAAGTGGACGCAACACTCAGCCGATCGTTCCATCCAGCTGTCAATGGACATGATACTCTGTCCGAATCATTTACTTCGTTTCTAATACCTTAAACGGGAGGCTGTGCGGAGTTTGCTTGCACTCGCAGCTGTGTGAAAATGTCGACACGCATACCCACAGATGTGCGTGGGGTGTGGATTGCATGCAAGACACGTTTGACTCCCACGCATGTACCCGCATACCTTGCATCCGCATCTGTTTTGGTCGCACATGCTGGCCGTGTCCATCATCTAAGTACAAGTAAAGCTGAAGTTGAGTCTCTGTGGCAAGTTAGCTGAGAATTGGATGACGCCATTAGGGCCAGCTTGTTGAGATAAAACTAAGTATGGCTCGTCGATCCTGCCGTGCCCATTCGGTTGTGTACGAAAGCTGCAGCTATCGTGATTCGTCGTATTAATTTCTCGGACCACTAGTATAACGGCGTATATATATACATATATATATATATATATATATATATATATATATATATATATATATATGCCTGGAATCTATTGGAACTCATCATTTCTGAAAGGCTTGCAAACAACCAGTTACCACATTTACTGGGCGACATTTCGCTTTTAATACGAAAGCTTCAGATCAAGTGGAAGCTTAAAATTACGTGACGTAGCAAACATTGACGAAATTCGTAACAAAAATGTGTTACTGAGAGGGCCATTACAGCCGTGTGTCGAACTATCGTCTTAAGGCGTTGGTGAGAGCCATCTGGTCAAGTGGCTGATAAGAAATTGCATTCGTACCTGAAGTCTCGGTACTGTGAGTGGTTTTACTGCCTCTTGACGTCAGAATTCTCCCACCTACAGTCTCAAGATTTTGTTGTGTTTAACGATTTACTGTTCTAATACCACTGACAATAATCTGTTATTCAAAGTCCCACCCACATAACATGTTCAAGCCTACATGCACACCCACGAACTTTGGTTTACGTTATTTAGACGTATGATCACAAACTGATTATAAGTAACAACGCCCTCATAAACACCGGATGCTAACATCCTCTTACAGTTGACAGTTGTAAGCCGGTTACATTGTGATTAACTTTTGCTGCGGCTTTCCATCTTTGGTACTAGTTTCAGCGTGGATACCTGAAATCTGATCACCCCGGAGTTCGCCACCGATTTCCTGGACGTCCGATGCGGATAATAGTGCATAGCTCTCCCAATTAGCGATCACGAAGCTATCTCAGCGCATTGTCGGGCAAGTCCTACAGGCTGCCTTCTGGGCTGCACTTTTACCTTTTCAGTCTTGTGGTAGAGTTTCATTGGAACAATCTTTCTTCCTCCCTGCGCTGCGTCAAATCTTCAATCTGAAGTATTCCCGGTTGTAATCGCATTGAACACAGTACTAAAAAGTCGATACTCTATTGAGGTCCACAAAAAGGATCTTTGCGAACACGAAGGAAAATGTGATCACCGGGACAACTACATTCGTGCTAAAATATAATTTGCGAGTTTATTAATGAACCTTTATGTGTTTGGTAAGATTATAGCCTACTCGTTATAGATGCACTATCGGACCCATACAGCCAATGTTTACCTCCTCAGCTGCCGCATTGTTGGCGTTGCTTAGATTTCACCTACTCACCATGAGCAGTTATACGAGTTCACTGTTTGAGAGACAGTGAGATTAGGCAAGGCGCTTTGCTCTATTGTTGTTTATGTGTATCGGTACGTGGAACTCGTCGCGTTATCTGGTGCCCATTACCGTGTTCAGTACATATGCGCTCAGTTGTAAATTTTCACATTTATCAGAATCGTTTGGGCTGGTCAGTCATCTTTCACGATGTTTACCAATTGATTTTGATTAATCGGCTGTGTTGGGTGCATGAAAATGTAATGAACACAATCGCATTCACCCACATCACTATCCGGTTTGAGGATGTGAATTACTGATAGAATTGGCCACCTCTAGGCTAATGTCATTTGCAAAGCTTATCTGATCGTTTGGGTGAACTTGATAACTGCGGCGTAGGCAAATAGCAGGCCGACGCGAACTAACCACGATTGTACGAGTCGGAGAGGTAATGCAGGGCTGACTTAAGCTAGATTGGATGAAGCACCGTTTGTTCATTGACAAAGGGGAAGTGTAATGGCTCGAAACGCAACGAGCGAACAGCGCATGCTCACCGACGGACTCACATTACAACACAAGATGCAACGGCGGCCAGCTCACGGAGGCGACGAGTAAAAAGTGAACAGAAACAAGGCAAATCTCTCTCACACTCGTTGGTCACGATCGTACGGACTAGATGGACAGTGGTGAATAGGTGCGGCCAAGCGTGAGTCAGATTCAATGCGGTCCCAAAGTGAGTAGCAGTGGCTTGGGCTTGATGGATAGCTCATGCCGGCCAATGCATATCGACAGGCAGCATAAGACGCGACAATGAGAAGCGAGCATTAAGCAACCGTCGCAACTGGATAGGGTCTCGAATTGGTGTATAGTGTAAATGATTCTACGCTTTACGAATAACAGGTCTTGATCAGTACGCAGGCTCTATCGACTTCTGGAGAACCGTTCGACACCAGCTCAAAAACTAGTCGAGATTCAAAGTCGACCTGTGCTTCTGCGTCAATTTGTTCGGATTCATTCCAGCAGTTTTCACACCATACTCCTCCGAAGTGCAAACTGCTACCATAAAATTCAAAAGCGGTGATTTTAAAATCACCGAAATCAACGACATTATCGGCTCCATCGATGCACTACGACTATATCAGTCCTGAGCGTCTTACCACGCAACCGTCCCTGTATACGTGTTCGGGTGACAAGGGGCACAACTTTAGCGAATACGGAGTCGAAGTCCGGTTGGTTTGTTGATCGGTCTGAGCTAGTGTGAATTTTAGTAATCGGCATGAGCAACGGTTTGATTTAGCTGTTACTGTGCCCGGCGTGAACAGAGAATATTACTCGCTGGTCAGCTTCGGAAATAGAATGAGGAACAGTCCATCAGGGATATCTGTTCGTTCCAAAAGTAAGATTTGTTCTACGTCTCCTGTCTGCACTTGTCGGCTCATTTATGTCTTACATGACGTTGGGGGCGTATAAGACACAAATGCACATTATCCTGGGAGGTCTGCCGGTCGAACACCGTCTCTGCAATATTTCAAAGTTTACTACCAATTCTGCAATACTTGTCATTTCAATCTTTTCTCAGTCGCGATCTTTTTTAGTGGACCGATCGACGGATTTAAACCGTAATAGCTATCGTATATCCGGTATAGTTTCAATCTCAAGAATCATGGCCCCAACATATCACGTGGAAACCACCGTTTTTTGCATTTGGTGAAGGGATGACCATTCTAGAGCAAAGTGGACGCAACACGACCTTGTTTGTAGGGCAAACGAGAAGCGATACGGTACCATCAACCGATGGTTTGCTCATCTACCTCTTCCGTAGATGCTAGACAAATCTGTCAGTGACTATTCACGTGAACGCCATAGTGCGTCCACTGACACGCGCTTTAACATGTTTTTGATTTTGACGTTCTCACCATGATGAACCACGAGGCTTGTTGAGCCTTCGCGGTTTTTGCTCGTACTTAACGGTTGTCCTATTGTTCCACTCCCGTTTTAGTATCCCCATAGTCTCGAAATGTAGCACAAGTTATACACTCTGAGCGTATAGATCATGCACAAGTAATGAGTCCTGGATAGATAGGACATTTTCATGACTTCACATGTTAGGAAACCCTAGAATTTGCTCTGATTTCGCTCCTTACTCCATCTCAGACCCTTTATCTAGAGAATCAAATCCATCTTGAAGAGGCAGGCAAAGTAACTGTGAAACACGTCGCCACAAACTAACTGTTCGATGGCCAAATGGTGAGAGATCTCGGTAGATCTTTGCAGAAATAAGGTATCCTCCTTCCCGGCTAAAGTGAGCCTCTGCCAGAAACCCTTTTAATCCTTTTCTTTACTCTGATCTCTGTTGACGCACTCCTCGAATTGGGGATTGTCCCGTGCTCTGGATGTCTCGGTTCTCACACTGCGAATTTTACTGCTTATCCTATTCATGCCAGCCCATTATTGTTGCCTTTAATAAGCCCAGATGTATCCGAACCGCTGGTCCACATTTAACTCTGGCGCTCTTAACACGATTACATTGCAACAAAGAATTTGAAAAATGTTTTCCCACGACATGCGCTGAGCAACGCTACTTTAATATCAGTTACTGGACATGCCATTGTAACCTGTGATGTCAAGCCCTATAAAAGACATGTAGATAAATTCTAACTGAACGTTTGCTGTTTGTTCATTGTATTGTCGGTACGATTCTTTTCTTGGTAACCGATAAATATGAAGGAATTCGCTTCAAATCTCGAAACTAGGCGCTCGGTGTGAATTGGTCACTTTTCTTTCATTTCGGAACCAACCGGGGGTTACCTCCTTCCGTACTGCGGGGCACTGAATTTGAGCTGACCCTGTGGCCTGAGGTCCGACAAGTCTTCCTTCATCCGTCTGCAATGAACAACGCGGAGAATATTTGACCGACATATCAGGCTAACAGTGCTTTATTTCGTTTCAGTTATTTAAATCAGTAGACATCTCATTACGGTTGAATGACATCACTATTTCATCCCTCAGATACTACGTGGAGTACACTTCAAATAATATTTACATATACGATGAACTTGATGTATTCTCGGTGTGAAGTAGTCCGTACGCAATCTGGATGTATAATGATTGCATTTGAAACCAAACTGTATCCACACGGAGGATTTACATAGGAGTGAATCGAAGTTTAGTCACTGAGCAATAGGATTTCGGTCATTCCGACGGTGGCATGCACGCTGAGCAGATCGTTTCCTGATTACATTAACCTACTACCGTTGGCTACCCTTTCACCATCTCACAATTTCCTGTGCAACAACAGGAACAAGTAGTGGATTGTTTTTCCTTCAGGATCTCCCCTGCATGAGGTAAGGGACTTACCCGGTTCGTCGGCCCAAACTTGACTCACACTGACCCCAAAACTACCGTTGGAATTCAATCTATGCGGCTAACTGGAGCAGTTGGCAAAGATATTCAGCGTGTCTTTTCGCTGTTACATAGGGGATTGTTACCAAAAAACAGCTACATATGGGCGTTAGACTGCCAACTTGCACCACGTGTGCTGACTAAGCTCTTTAGGTTTCCCTATACATCATTGGCTGTCAACAGTTTTTGATGACAGTGGAATCAACACCAATCAGCCATTAAACTGTAGCGCTGGTTTGTATAGCATACATGGCTTCTAGTGCCTGCTGAATTCTTTGTGATTGTTTGGGCGTAAACACCGTTGATGCATTGAAAAATCAGTTGCATCAACCTCTGCACCATCTGTTTTCAGATTCATACATTAGTCTGTCAAATACATCGTGAAAGATTAACATATCTACCATACCATCCATGCTTTCTTTGAGACATTACATTGCCGTCTTCTGGTCTATGCACTCACCTGGAAACCATCAGATGAAGCTCCGTACCAGAGCACCGGATTTTTTCTGTTGCCTCCTTGTGGCACATATTGCGCGCAGATTCACCGTTGATATCCAAAATTGCGTCACCTCGATGCAATACGCCCTCTGCTGAGCTGCCCGATTGTGTCTGCAAGTGAGCGAACGGAGTGTCTGACTCTACCTCCAAGTAGGAAGTTTCTCTGACAGTAAGGTGATAATAAAATTTATTCACTAAAAAGTGAAGCGACTTCCAACTGCACCATCATGTTCGGCTGTTTACATGTCCAAAACATTGACTGATAGCTTGGGCCCTTGTACCTCTGATACAAGTTTAGCAATGACTCCAGACTTATGATGCGTAAAACATGTCACGCAAAGTCGATGTGACATTGAAATTGACATTAATAAGTTCGCCTTATTAAAACCACATTCTTACCTTCATCCACCGATCAACGTTGATTTCTGTGGATTAAGGAGTAACGGTGTACACAGAAAACAGCGTAGCCGCTTTTAGGATATTTGTGCCATCGAAAACAACAAATTTCTCCAGAGCACCTTAGACATAAGTTCTAACCGTACTTTACGATGATTCGCAGAGTGCAGCGTAGACTGGTCATCATTCGTTGAGGTGGACATTGCAAGCAGTCACATTCTCTCGCCGCGCTTGTGTAATTTGCTGCGCTAATACACTGCCTGGGAAGAAGTTTGGTGACCCCATCAGCCCTCGGCGTTAAGACATGTTTCCTTTCCCTTCTGCATCAGATACGGGAACCGCATGTTACATGTTTTTATGCATTAAAAGTCTTGTTAACCCGGTCGTTTGAGTTCATCCAACCATCGTCATTTCAGTTTCGTGACTCGCATGTGTGCAAAGTGGGTTAAGGAAGGGTTGCGCAGCTGACGTTGCTCAAAATACGCTGACAACTCATTTGATGGCTACAGTCGCTTAAACGAATTTTAAGGTCATATCATGATTAGTTACATCCGTGAATTCGCGGTATCTCGAATTCGGAATGTTCCAGGGAACCGTTTTTACCTAATGATCACAGCTCCGCAAAATATAATTCAGTCATAACCGAGTGGCAAGTTCTCATTGCGCAGCCTTTTGAAAAAAGATGCCCTGCCAAGGGGACTAAACTGTCGTCTCACCCTGGTACCAATTGTCATTGCCCCTTTCGTCAGTTGAGAGATGACTGTTTTCTGGTGTCCAGAAGGTGGTACGTAGTCTTCACTAGGGTTTTACCTGAACGTTGACAGTAAGGATGAGATCCCAGGTAGCTGATTGAATTAGCTCGGTGAATCACCACACAATCTCTGACCGAAACAGTATTGTCGGTTCTCCCGAATGCGATGTGGCAGTGCAGTGATTATTTCGTCCTGCTACGCTAACCCATCTTCTACGAACTCAGTTGTCTGTGCCCCCACCGTAGCTGTTTTAAAAATAAGAGTAGGTATCGAAATGAACGCCCTACACTTTGTTACCTAAACGGATACTCTGGATATATTCGGGCAAATTAAATTCTATGGAATTGTAACCCACAGTGACGCAAGTAAATCGGTGTAGAGGTGTGGGGAATCTGCTTGTTATTGGCGATTAGCCCCAACAACAACAACAACAACAACAACAACAACAACAACAACAACAACAACAACAACAACAACAATAACAACAACAACAACAACAACAACAACAACAACAACAACGTATTCTTCCTATGTGCATAGTGTTATCTCACTCCCACAACCCTCCGTCTATGTGTAATTAATATATCGGTTCATCGATGCGTATTTTAATTGGTCCACATATGTTGTATTCGAATTTGAAATTCCTTCTATTACCAACCTACGGGACATGTTAAGCCTGTGCTTTTTTATCCGCTCTAAACCACTGTTCCATTAAGCTCTATTTAGTGAAATATACCGTGCTTCTTATCCTAATCCGTAACATGAACACATACTTCCTACTATTTCACTAATCAGTGCATAGAATAAGGTGCGCACGCTATGAAGGCGGTTGGATCCACATTTTTGTGGTTGTGTGATCTTGGGGGCATGACTAAATCTATTTCTGGCTAGTTCAAGCGAGCAGGCCTAATACAAATGGTAATTTAAGCATGACAACACACTTTTATTGCACAATTGCGGTTCCTGTGAATGGAGCATCCAGTATTTGCGATTTGTAAAACCTTTACTATTGACATAATCTGACTCCAGTTTAGAAATAGACCTTGAGACAATGGTCAACCAGAATTTAGCGCTTTTCCTACTAGCTGGTTTAGACAATGCTTGTGTTAGCTGGATGAGCGTTAAGGAAGAAACTGGCGCAGTTTGTTCATGCTTGAGTCTGGAGAGAATATTTATCTCAGATAAGCACTTGAATGACGGTTAGTTTGAGTGGACTGGGAAACAGGGGAACGGTTTACCAGCCATCAAAGTTTTGCAACTGTAAGTGGTATTGTGAGGGCAATAAGCAAACAGCGAATAAATCATGGAGAACTCGATCGTTTAGGAATACCATAATGGAAGTTAAAGGACCGTTACGTTCATCACTGAAAGAAAGGTGGTATTGAATAGTCCCCACTGTTATTTTGTCCCTTGTATTATGCACAGTGTAGCCGGATATACTTTGTCATGTGAACCGCGCACTGGGGCGGAAACAGTGTCAAATGGAGGTAAACAGCCCCTTCTCCCAGAAGCTTGGTATGGTTCTCGACTTCAAATGTGACACTATATATATATATATATATATATATATATATATATATATATATATATATATATATATATATATATATGAAAACACCGGTGTTGACGGCAGAGAAAAAGAATATTTATTTGTTCTTACCGTTCAAGGGGGACCATGTGGCAAATGACATCGGACGCAAGCTCCGGTCCGCCCTAACGCGAACCTACACGACAGCCCAGTTGTGATTCAGGCATACCACACGAGCACTTGTTCTTCATAACCGTCAGAGCATCTCGTCGGGTTGTTCGGCCTCTCACGTTGTTGATCAGTTCACCTGCGGTTGCGGTGACATTTACATAGGCAGAACAAACCGTCAGTTAGCTCAGAGGGTAGCTGAACACTTGCCAAAGTGGTTGGGACAGGTGATTACGCAACAACATGGGATGAATCTGAGAATCAATCGGAGCCCGGCATCGTCTATCACCAAGCACCTCATGATAGCCCGTCATCACGTAAAACCCGAGACAGCGTTCAAAGTGTTATTACGTAACAAAACCCGATAATGCTAGCAATTAGTGAAGCGTTGTTAATTAAGGCTTATCAACCTGTGCTATGTGCACAGAAACTCTTGAGGCAATCCATTCGGTTGCCATGATCTTGACTGTGACATTTTGATTGGTGGTGCCCTTTTTTCCCATGTATATAATCCCTTGTATGTTTCTGATCGTATTGTGTTTGCGACTGAGGAGAACAATCGAAATGTTGACATATCGCAACCCCTGTCTTCTCTCTGCCTTAACGAAATGGCTGAAGGGGACCCACTGTTTTAAATAGTTTATTATCGATTGCATCGAGGCACACCATGTCAGACATGATCAACAGTAATGACGGCCGCCACTTGGGAGTAGGGAACGGACCAACTTTTGACGGTTGACTTTTGGATCTATCATCAATACGCAGGAGAAATCCCATTGGTATCCACCTCAGGGACGATATATTAGACTCCTAGTGATTCGAGATATCGGCTCGATGTTGGGCTGACTATGTTCTTACCGAATTAAATTTCTTCCAACACAGATATCGATGAACAGATAAATGGGTAACATTTAAGAAGCCGCGTGTCAGACTTATCACCAAGTCACGAAACCGTGATGAAACGTTACCGTAGGTCAATTGCTCTTACGAACGGTCGCATAAATGAATGGATGGTGAACCTTACCCAACACCAGGTGTGTCAGCCTCCAGTTAAGTACAGTAACCCTTTAAGCACGTCGGTGGAAAATGTTAACGTGAATCGGCTAACTAATCTGAGGTTTTCAACGGACTAAACAATACTAAATGGGGTAACCAGTAGTGAAATACATCACCTACAACCTCCACCCCGCGTATTCTGCGCCCTCTTTGAAAGAAATATGGTGGACAGGAATCTGCGCTGCGTGCTGACAGGTTGAATGTTTAAGACAACGAAATTCCCGAAAACTGGATTACCAAACGAAGATCCCAGTATGATTGGGGTGCGGTCTCAGGCTGTTAAAACCCGTGTTACAGTCCGAACTAACGGCACAAATCCTACTAAAGAAATGGACTAAATTCCTTTGCAGGTTGCCAACAGAAATTCTTCTGAAAGCAGCGGGAACATCAGCACCTTCTATTGATAATTCAGTAGAGGCACAATTCTTAGGGAAAACGCCAATTGCAGGAACCGACTCGGGGACGGTTTCAAGAGTAGCCATACTATCCGGAGAGACACAGCAGAGCACGAGCAAACATCGGGATCCGGGGCATTTGATACCTGCTTATATATCAAATACTTCTAGAGAGTATGCAACCCATCCAAAAAACGATTAGTCGCCGACCCTTTTATTGGTCGGCATAAACTCACTTTCTTCATCCATCCAATCTAACACACTTTGGGTCTCCGAGAAGCTCTCATGCATGTACACAAATGCTCAAGGTCTACTCAGCAAATTAGCTGAATTAAAACTTCGACACGCGTCAACAGCTTGGGACTTCATACTGTCATTGAAACGTGGTTGCGCTGCGAGATAACGGATGCTGAAATCTCGCTAACGGACATGTTCGTTGTCCGGAAGGGTCGAACCAGCAACGGTGGTGGGGTAGCCCACTACTTTCGTAACAAGCTACAATGCGAACGCATAAACGATTCGGAAACCGACGTACCTGACGCCATTTTGTGTAATTTCCGGCTGAGAGGGAACCATCTTGGCCTATTGGTTTTTGTTTACGGCCCACCGTCGTCTACTACTGAGATGGACTGCAATTTGTTGGCTGCGTTGAGGCAAGGGATAAACAGGAAGTACAGTCACATTCTAGTCACCGACGAATTCAACATACATGCCCTCGAATCCCAGGCCATACCAGGAGAGCAATTCAAAGTAGATTTGCAAGATCTGGTTTCAGACTTCCCGCTTTATGGCCAAGTCACTACGCCCACCAGGTTC